GGTTATGAAAACATGTCCCCAAGTCTCCTCTTTGGAATGGTGAAAATTGAAGCTCTTTAACTTTTTCCTATCGAAAGTTATTCACAGTCATATACCATTCTTTTTTTGGATGAACAATAGAAAATGAATTTTGTATCCGGCTAAGAAAGAGACATAATTTGATAGATAAACACGTGACAAGAAAATGTATGTATGTATCTGACTGAAGGTATATGTTAGATCGTGTCTCTGTAGTTCAGTGGTTAAAGCTTCTAAACGTGTTACCAGAGGTCCTTGATTAGCTTCTCAGTCGAGGATTTTCTTTTCATATATTTGTCTCTTTCTCAGTCGTATACAAAATTCATCTTCTAATTTTGTCTAAAAGTCCTGTTTCTGATTGACAGGGTCAAAGAAGATAGCGCTAAATAATTTTTTCTGTAACATAGTTTGTAGAACGGTGAGCCGTTAACAAAAATTGTTTTCAGTGTTTCTACAGGGATGGAAACGAATGAGCTCAATTTTATTTTGCTTTTGCTCGATTTTCTATTGAGATTCTGTTGTCTGTCAATTTGTTTCAAATAGATATTGATTCAAACTTAATTTGAACAGAAATGAGAATGAACTTAGTTACTCTCATAGTGTTCATGGTGAGATGAGACTTAAGGACTTGTATTTTAATTCCTTTTTGCATGAATTCGTTCAACGAAATGTTTGTTATACGTCAAGAGAGTGAATATCCTTGAAAACATGTAAAAACATACCCTTTGTAAGTAAATGATGGCATGATATTTCCGTGAAATGTATTAAGAATACAAACATCATGAAGCAGTAGTGCAGTCTTGTCCCGTCCTGCAGCGTATGAGATAACAAATAAAAAAATGAATGTTAAACAACAAATAAAAAAGCATAATGTTTGCTGTTGTCTGTACATTTTGAAAGAAGCAAATAAACGAAAACAAAAAATTCAAGGTAACAATATAACAACCAAGATCAAAAATAAATAAACAGATTAAAAAAATAAAAACAGCAGTGAAAAACATTTTTTAATGAGCAATTGTTTTATGCATCAATAAACCAGCTACACTACCACGATCAGCTATCGCTGAACGTATACGATTTTCTTTTTCAACTAATTCTTCCAAACGCATTAACTAAAGACGAACAACTATGGTAACAATTGAAAAAAAGATGTACTTGTTTCGTACCTCATGTAAACGTTCCAGGTCGATTTGTGCGCGTCGTTTTCGTTCCCATTTCAAATGTCTCGTACATATTCGTTTTGGTACTATACACAGTTCATCAGACACATCAAATAAGTTTTTCTCTATTGGACAACCACACGCTTCATCCGGACCAATCTGAGAAAAAAGAACAAATAAACAATATAAAGAAAGTAGGAAGCACGTAAAGATGTAGACTTACTTTTCGTTCTCGAGAGTGTTCTGGACATATAACTTTTAAACGTTTACAATATAAAGAATTTGACGGATCATAATGATCACAAAATAAACCTTCGATATTTGATTTGATATTTGAACCGTAAGATACTTGACTTTCATACTAAAAACGACAAAACATCGATATAAATAATAGGCAGATTTAAAATAAGAAATATATCATCGTACGTCTTACTCTAATAAAACATTTATCAATATGTCTCATATACGATTTTTGGCTAACTTCTTGATTGCATAGTATACAAAAACTAAAAAGTCAGCCAAAGAAAAAGTTAGTGACAAAGATGAAGTAAAAAAGAAATTCACTATCTACCAAGTCCAATCAGGTTCATCATTTGAGGGATCTAGTTTCTAAGATGACAAGAGAGATAGATAAAGTGTCGTTTGTAAGTTATTTTTGTAAAGAGTCTTACATTGGCATCTTTCATGGCTTTCAACTTTTTTCCTCTTTCAACAATATCATCTAATTTACGTTGGTCTTCATCCAATACAACAAGCCGACTCTTTATTTCATCAATTTGTATTTTAATGTCATCGAGAGCATTCAAATTAATTTTATCTGCCGTGGATGGTATAGCTTGCCAACACATCATACGCATAGGTAAAAATTGCAAAAGTCGACTAGAAAAATAAGAGTCATCCAGTACGCGTAATAAAAACTTAATGCATACTTACTTTCGAGCTAATTCTAAACCACATTCATCTGAACAATATTTTGAATTTGTACGTGCTTCTTGTACACATGCGGGACCAAAACATTGTCTGGGATGTTCTTCTGATCGACGTCGAGCATTAGAGCGTCGACAATCAGATTTATTCTAGAAAAAAAGCTGATCAATTTTTATCTACATAAAAATAAAGTCTCACTGAGTTTACATAATCATTTGAGGCGTCGGCAAGATTACTTAATTCAACCATGCTTCGTTTTCGCTTCGTTCCTGCTTCTCCTTTCGTTCGTTTAGGTGGCTGTGATGATGGTGGTGGCAGTATGAGAGATTGCGTTGTTTTATCTGACATTTCATTTTCGGTTTTCAATTCTTTTCGCTCTTGTTTAATAGTTGAATAACGATCAAATAAGTCGTGAGTTTCTGACTTTATTTCTAATGTTTCATATTGAACAGTTTGTATTTGACCGATTGTCGGCAACTCAGATAATGGCGACGGATGAAACTGAGATGGATTAGTAAAAGTTTTGGTAAAAGTTGTTGTTGAAGATGACAAAGCTGATGATGAGTTGGAATTACTTGAATCATCATGAGTGGTGGAAAGTCGTTCTTGTAACGATGAATCATCATCCAACATCGATGATCTCTGAAAAAGAAACCTTATTTGAGCTAAAGAAACGGATTATTTCTTGAACATACTTGTTTATGTCCAAGCGCTACAGCTGACGTATTCGACGATGTGTCTAATAAACGAAATTCTTTACGTAATCGACGCTAGAAAAGAAAAAAAGATAGATAAAAAATTCGCATTCCATAGATAGTTTGCTCTTATATTCCTCACCTGAATAACCTTGTGCAATTTTTCTTCGGCTTCTTTCTGAGGAAGTGTATATTTAATTTGTAAACTGGGTGTTTTCACTAAAAAAACAAATGGACATTCAACTAAATACATTCATGTAACGAAATGCTTACGACGGCATCGATGACAAAAAAATTCTTCAATTTTTGACGATTCTTTTTCGGTCATGCCTATACAATCACCATGATACCACTGATCACAAGAATCACAGCCACTAAAAAAAGAAAAGTAACAATTTTTCAAAATTCAAATTCGTAGAAGGATACGCACATCATAAATCTTGAACAATCGATTGAACGGCAAATACAATAGATATCACCTTTTCTCGATTCTAACATTGTTTTATTATTTCCAAACA